AAATAGTGACCTTTCGAAAATAGAGATTTCAAGTTTTAAAACTCTTTTTTTAAATTCAAATTTCATTCATTTTTGACGAAGTTACAGCTGCCTAAACTTTGTCTAATTTTTACAAAAAATTAAGTGTTCCTCTAATTTTTGTGAGTAGTGTATATTCATAATAAATTTTAGATATTATCAATACATAATTTTAAAATACCTTTGCCGCAAAATTAATTTTATTTTCAAATATAAAGTATCTAGTTTCAGTTAATATTTTTGTGAAACTTAATCTAACTTAAACAATGTAAAGCTAAAAACGCTTCGAAAGCGTAATGTATACAATTTGTTTCCTACGAAGCCATTCAAGTATAGCGAGGAACTGCTCGCGCGTGCAAAGTTTAAGTTTCGCGAATTTGATAGCTTGATCGTCAACGCGTGCATAATCGATCACACGAACCATATGGTTCACGTGCCCCCAGCATGGAAGTAATGGGTCATGGTTACATAAAGAAGACCTTAAACGGCGATCACGTTCTGTTCTTACGTTTCAAAAGTTGATATACAGCGCAGATGTTCCGGAAAATATCCGATCTCATTAAATAGAAACAATTTTAGCTAGCGTTTGATCAATATAGAAACTTAATTTAACATGAAAATTACGTAAACACTTCTTTTATAGAGAATCGAATTAAAATAAAATTATGACATTTCGAAATTTTTTTTCTTAACTATCTTTCATAAGCAATTAAGAATAATTATTTGGGATTAAACATATTATTTAATAAAATAAAATCGTAAGATTTAATTGAGTCTGACACTAAGTCAGCTTATAATGATTTCAATACATGTGTAATTTTTTATACGTTGCAAATGAAAGCAAGGCTCGTCGAATAAAATTTATATAATCAATCAGCGTATAAGCATTTGATAAAATTTACTATCCTCTTCGTTTTACTACGAAGGTCAATTGATACGTTATCATGGTCATTGTCATTTTTTTGAATGTGATAAGTCGAATCGATTCTACCAAAGGAAAGATAAAACATTATCATGGAGAAAACAGACGAAATGTGCAATCATTTTGATAATTATAAATTAGGCAAAACAATTAAGTAATATATAATAAATTGCAATTGCTGAAAGATAATAATAATCGTAAGATAACATTATAAAAAATATGCTCTTTACCAATAAATTAAAATCTTAAAGTTCAGACTATCTTGAAATTTTAATTTTTGGTACTTTCAGGGTTTTCTTTTCTTATATAAGATTGGTTACTCAATAATACGTTTAATTAATATCATAACTAATGTGCGTTTATGGGAAGCCCTACTGAAGAGCAGGAAATGTGTGCCCTCTCTTTCTCCGCAGTCTCCCCAACCCCTCCGATTTCGATTTTGTCGCGATGGATTCTTAATCCGGAAGTCGGTGCTTTCGAAAGGATTCTGTCGGTTGACCATTTCCTGCAAACGCGTTAACGGAAATTTTAATATTTATGAAATACATAATAAGCATCGGCTGCCGCTTGTCCTGGAATTGAAAAGCCACGGATGCACTCTCGTTGAATGGTAGAAAGTATCAGAAAGTGGTGAATGACGTCATATGTATGGGATTATGAAACATATAATGATCATAAATTACAACTACTCGGCGATACGTATAAAGCAGCGAATTCGCAAATGAATATACGAAAGAACGATTGTTGAAGTATTTACAAATTTAGCTACATAGATACAGATCTGAAAATAATTTTGTTAAGTCATCAAGATAATTGGGAAACTTAAAATAATATGAAATTCAAGCTTAATGAGTAATGCTGCAGAAAAGTTCGATATTTGACAAACTTAAGCATCCTACATAATCATTTTGATAGTTTAACAAAATTATTTTCTGATCTATATGTATAAATACATTAAAAATATAATAAAATTAATTAAATACAAATATATTTCATTTTTCGTCAATCTCATCCGCTTTGATTCAACGATATCATTAGTCGCCGCGCCAAGTTACGAATAAAGGGTTAATTTTTAGTAATATGACGTTACACACACACACCCGTTTCTTAAAGTTCGTTGCAAGCGCATTCGTTGGCATACTTTCGTGTTATTTGCGGATATTACAATTACCTCGTAAAACTTTTTATGCTTCGACGTGTTACGGACGATCGCCGTCGCGTCGCAACCGTTTCTCACGAAGGGAAAAAAATGCTCTTCTGCGATGACGGTTGCTTCACGCAACATAAATTTTATGCGTAGAACCGTGGACTCTCTCCGTTCGCGTAGGTCCGTCTTTGCAGGTGTCCCTCGCGAAATTTTCGCACAATACGCATGCTGCGTATCGGCTCTCAGACCGTACGTTAATCTGCGACGCGCCAACGCTATCACGGAAGGGTAGCGAAATTGAGTTAACGTGCGAGTTAATGCCCACGAAATTATACTGAGTCGAATAAAAATTTGGCCACTCCGCGATGCGTGTCGAATTAGCACGCACTCTGACACGTTGTGTGAGACAGTAACTTCTTAAACGACTGAAGAAAGCGCATTGTAATGAATTACTATCTTTTGACACATTTGAAACAAGTAATTAATATTTAAATGCAATATGTACTTTTCTGTGTATAGTGAATATCCGGATACTTGTATGTGAATGTGAAAGTAGTAATGAAATAGATCATATAATAATCATATTTATTCACGAACTCTTATAAAGATAGTTTCCTTTACAATATCAATTTCTTTCTCGTAAAAACATTTCAAAACATTTATTCGTTAATGGCGCCAATTTCTAAAAATGCCGATCGAATTAGAACGAGGAAACATGAAAGCGGAATTTATGTAAATTCTTTCTTTGTCCAGTTGTCTCGTCTCGCAGTCACACGCTCCGCGTAAAACCGCCATGAAGCGGAGCAAATCGACATGCATTATTTATCGTTGGGGGTGCTTCTATGGGAAACTCTCTTTCAGGGGGGTGAAAACGTCAATACAAGTTTTGGTGAGAATTTCTTTGTTCTACTCGTACCTACATAAATTAGACTAAATACTTTGGCTCAATTATAAAATACCGCATGCCGAAAATAAATGAATATATGAGCTAATCGTTAGATTTCTAAGATTATTTTGAATTGTACAAAAGATTAATAACGATTTTAAATAAGTGTTACAATCGGTATTATTCGCTGAATATTCGTGAAGCAATCGAATGAAGCAATCGAAATAATCAATTGTTTGTATTGTTGGTGCACCTTTCGCTGCGTATTGTGGATAACCACTCGCACGTAAAGGTCCAAAGAGATCCAAGAAAGGGGTTGGCACAAACAACCCTTCGACGCGGCAGATGGTCGATTGAACAAAATCGATCTCCGACTTGATCTATCGAAATCTCAACGTTGTGTCACCGCGGGGGCGCCTGGCCGCCTCTTGACGTTATTTTTAACAATTTCCACATGACGATCGACTGATAAACGTCGAAGGGTTTCGTAGCACAGCAGATGTTCCCGTCTAACGCGTCTGCGCTACTCCGCTTCGATGTTTGCATCACCTCGGTGTATATTTTCGATAAATTAGACGGCTTGAATAGATCCTTAAAGAAGCTTAATCACGATAGCGCGTCGACTAAGCGCAGTCTAACCAGAGAAAAAAGAGAATTGCCCAATGATTTCGTTAGGCAAAGATCGCTTGATAAAGACCGAAGGGTTTCGTGACTGAGCAGATGCTTCGAAACTCGAAACGTCGTATACCGTTTTTTGGAACTTTTTTAACGTTAAGCTGTAACGTTTATCCGTGTCGACATCTAAATTTACGAAAGGAAAAGATCGTTGTAAAAAACATCAAACATATTTCCCAATAAACGAAAAACACAGCACAAGACCAAACTCAATGTACTCGTAGTTTCAGCGATATAGGAAATTGACTGACGAAATATCCAAACGAAACCGCGAATTAGACAGCTGAAAGAATAATGACATTGCATTAGTAAGCAGGATCAATGATTGGTACGGGTTTAATGCGTGATTAATGACCACCGGATGTGTCGCATGACCACGTTGAGCGCGATTTTTCGTCACGACAATACTCACTGCCTTTTTCCACCATCACGTGCTACATGTTGAGATAATAGTTGAAACCGCAACCACTCGCGAGTCGACGAAATTAGAAAAGGGGTGGCTCGCACAGGAGGGTAAAAGGAGACCGGGTTTGTTTCGCTGGCCTCGATTGCAACGCAGCATGAGTCGCCAACAAAGAAGATAATAATACGGAGGAAACGAAAAACCAGACAATAATGTGCTGTGGTGCAGGCAGTATACAGCGGAAAGGGGTGCATTCGTGCGTTAATTGTTACAGTGCGTTTGCCACATTTATTAAATTAAATAATGTATTCGGTAAAATTATGCGCTGTAATAATATACAATATAATGTCATTGAAAACATTCATTTTTTAATATTGATTGCATGTGACTGTAGTTAAACGAGAAGCTTATTTCCAAATTATTTTGAATTTATCAAGGTCAAGATTATACCTTATAGACCCAGAATTCAGAAATTTGAAGGAATTTAATGAAAAGCAGAAATTTTTTTAAATTATCGTCGGGAGTCTTTACGATACTTAGAATACGACGCATCATATCGATTGATTAAAAGAAAAGGATTATAGACATCTTTATCGGACCGTCTGGCCAAAAACGAAATGATAAGCCCAACCGAAATTCCAGTATTATCGGAGGTAGGGATATTTCATTATCTGCAGGGTGCGTCAGATATTTGAGGACACTCACATATGTGCCTGCCAAGTTTTCGCAGCAAGTTTTTTTATTTTCTTTCTTTTCGGATCATAAATAGAGGACAATAAGTTGACTCAGGAAATGAAAAGACACGCTATTATCGTCGCTATACACGCGAATCACAGCGATCTTGAAATCTCCCAATTTCTGAAAGTCGTCCGATCGTTTGTTCACAAAGTTCGTCGAGAGTTAGAAGCATCTGATGACAATGTGGAAAGTGTTGCCAAATGCAAAAAACATGAGGCACGTTCAGACAGAGTTAGAACATCACAGTTTGTGCAGCAAGTCCAGCATTATTAATGAAGACCCTTCAAAGTCCATAAGAGTCATATCGAGAGACCTTCAAGTTTTTCTGAGTGCACAATCCGTCGCATTGTCCACGAAGACATCCGGTACAATCCTACGTGATGCGCAAAGGTCAGTTTATGTCGGCACAAACTCGAGAACAGCGATTCATCCGGGCACAACGACTTTTAAACAACTTAAAATATCCTGAAATCCCGAATATTCTCTGGTTTTATTCTGACGAAAAAAATTTTGACCAGGATCAAAAAATAAACCGACGAAATGATAGGTGGCTATGTGCGGATCCTTCAGATGTTCCTCATGTTATGCACACAAAGTTTCCGGCAACTGTCATGGTTTTGGGAGTGGTGAACAATGAAGGACACATCATGCCACCCCACTTCTTTCCTCAAGGATTTCGGGTGAATGCTGCTGCCTACATTGAGGTTTTGGAAGCAGTTGTGAAATCCTGGATAGATAGCGTGCGTGTGTGTGTGTGTGGTGAGAGGCCATACGTATTCTAACAGGACTCTGCTCCTTCACACAAAGCCATGACGACTCAAGATTGGATGTCCGAGAATCTGCATGATCACATAACCCCAAACATGTGGCCACCTAATTCCCCGGATCTTAATCCTTTGGATTATTACGTATGGGGCGTTGTTGAACGAGAGACCAATAAACATCCCCATAACACGCTTGATTCCCTAAGAGCAGCTATTACCAGAGTAATGACGCATATGGATGAGGATTATTTGATTCGGGCATGCAACCGTTTCCGGCAGAGAATTGAAGCTGTTATTGCCGCTGAAGGCGATTTTATCGAATAACTGTATAGCCTACGAGTCACTTAGTTTGCTGTAAAAATTTCATTAAAATACAATAAGTTTTCTAAGAAATATACAAATTTTAGTTTTAAAGTCAATATGTCCTCAAATATCTGACGCACCCTGTATATTAACCCTTGTCGCACGATTGATAATTCTGTCCTTTTAGGAAACAAATGGACTGATGTTCTCTTTTGTGACAATTGTGTATTGTGTATTTATTTCGAAATTTAATTTTAATTTTTACTATCATTGAAACTCCAACTCTATACATGTACAAAGTCGGAAAAAAACACGCGTGCACACAAGTTTATGCGCCAAGTAACAAAATGTAATTAATAATCTTAAATTTTTTCGCGACCCACCAAAAATCGGTTCGCGACCCTACCATACTTTGGCAATCCCTCAGACGACTTAGATATTTCATTTCAGCAAATATCGATAAAATATCTATTCTAATTGCTCTTTTTAAGAATTTTTTTCATGTTTTACTTCTCATCAAATGCTGTTATTGTAATTAATCGTAACAGATATAATAAAGTGGAGCGTGTATGCTGATGAATTCTTAACTCGAAAAGTATTGAAGATAAAAGAAAATATGAAACAATCATCTAAGGCAATAATGATCGGAATAGTGATCTGGTAGTCGCAATTGAAATTATATTGATCTACAGTTAGGTAATTCCATTTTTTTACCGCAATTCATAATCGCTTCGAAATTTCCTTAACTCATATATTCGCGAGTTCAGTGTGTATCCAACAAAAATTTTACATTTATTTCTGCTAAAGGTTAATGTAATTGAATGATTTTTTCTATTTAAAGGTCACAATCCCGGGAATAAGATTGTAACTTAAAATGTAACTGAAAAATATTTTTTATAACAAACAATTTTTTAATGTTTGGCGCGTAATTAAAAAAAATTCACTGAATTCGCTAATATTAATTAAGGTTAACAATAATAATTTCCATTTAACAGAGCCAATTACATTACTTAATTAATATACATATAATAAATTTATATAAATTTTTTTTTTAAATTGTAGAATTAAATTTAGTATAATTAAACAAGAAGAAGGTTCTTTGTAAAAAATAAAGGCATCACACAAATATATTTTCTCTATTAATTGTGTATTTAAAAAAAAATAGTTTTATACATTAAATATAATATAACTCCAATCATAAAAATTTCTTTTGTATTTCTGTTTTTATATTTCTTTTTTCCACATCCAACCATTTCTATGTCAATTAGAGAGCTGTAAGAGGAAATCAGGGCTTCCCAAACTTATACAGATTGCGATCCTCTTTTTAATATGACAAATATTTGCGTTTCATTTAATTTTAGTGAATATAAAGAAGTGAGGGATAGATAAATTAATTTTTAATTATACTACTTCATTTATACCTTCATTCTATATTGCTTCTATTTTTAATTTTTAATTTTTTATCGAATACGATTTTATAATCTATTTCTAAAATACATAATGAGATATGTGAGACATATCTTTGTTTCCTATTTCCGTTGACAACAGCTTTAACATCTACATCGACGCGAGTTATTTTTAGATACAAGGAGTTTGATAATTGTAATTTATTTCAAAATTTGGTTTTAATTCTTGTCATTGTTGAAAATCCAACTTCATACATGTACAAAGTCGGGAAAAACGTGTGCGCACGTACACAAAGTAATGTAATTAATATTCTTAAATTTTCTCGCGACTCATCAAAAATCGGTTCGCGACCAATATTTTGGGGATCTCTGAATTAGACATTTCATTTTAGGAAATACTAATAAAATATTTGTTCTAACAGTTGCATGCACAACCCAGACAAATAAAGATATCATATTTGAGGATCAAAACGTACAGAAAAATAATACAACGACGAGCTCAATGATAGTATCAACGATAATATCAACTACATTACGGTCTACAACGGTCAAAATATTCTACAGAAAAAACTATTTCGCAAACAGACCATACACCGGTTTTTACAGGAAACACAAGCGTGACAACAGAATCAAGTGACAATGACGAAAATAACGATTTCAAATCCGACTCCGACTCCGGAATTGACATCTAAAACAAAAAATACGACAGATGGAATTATTACAGTTCCTCCAACGCAATCTACGACGATATCGATCTACAACAATACCAATGCAATCTACAACGCAATGTGTAACAAACGTAACGTATCCATCATCAGCCACGACAGCATTTCCATATTCGACAACAGATGCTGTAGAAATAACTACAACAGAAAATATAACACTTCTGATAATTTCAACGACACTCATAACTAATCCAACGGTACTTACGGCTACACCGAATTCACCAAATACTGCACCAACATTTTTACCACCCATGCCGCCTGCAATTACAACAAAAACGACAAATACAACGACAATTACATCTAAAACAAATGTAACGGAAAAATCGACGTTTACTATGAGGACAACATCAACGTCTTTTTCATCTTCTTCAATGGGATCTTCTTCATCAATTACGGAAGTTACAACAGCAAAAACAATTCAACCTTTACTGATAGCGATATCAATGCAACCGATCCAAATACGACTGAAGCAAATACATCGAAAGTGACCACTCCTAAATTTAATTATATCCTTAGAGATGACAGTATGACACAGGAGTGGCATGCGTTCTGACAAACATGACGATTCATGTAAATTTGCGAAACACAACAAAAGTTTCTCAAGTAAATAAGTAATAATGTAATTTATAAAAATAAATATCACACGCTTTTTATATCTTTCGGAAATGTTCATTACAACAATTTATATTTTTTATTATTTTAATTGATCGCTTCGTCAACAATTACATATATGTGTTTAATCATTATTTTACTGCGTCACAGAATACATTTCCGCTTTTTAGGTATCAGAACCTATAGGGTAAATGTCCCAATTACTGCTGCTTTAAGCATATAGTTGTAATTGATATACTTATTTTGAAGCTTTTAAGATATATAATAGACCTCACTTTTTTATTATATTCAAATATAAACTTTAATATACACTAAATAAAAGCAACAAACTCGAAAACTGACTAATTATTTAAATATAGCGAACAAAATGATATGTGAGGTATTGAACATATTACTGCCAGCCTTTGTCCAAATACTGTCCCCCTAATTACTGCCACATGTACCTAATACTGTCTCCCTATTTACTGCCAGTGTACCAAATTCTGCCACCCAATTACTGCACAGTGTGCAATAAATAGGGAGACAGTATTACATGTTGGTGGCATTGCTCAAAGTCATAAAATGTATGAAGCTTATTAATTTTTGCGATATAGGTATCCTTCAGTTTTTAATTATTTCTAAAAATTGTAACAGAAGAGTACTTATGTACATATTTATTTTCCTTAACCAATTTTTAGGTTAAAATATAAATTAAAAGCTTTTTCAATACCCTAAACAAAATATATACATTAATCATTATACAGATAACAGAAAATATTTTTTAAGTATTATTATTATATATATAGTAATAATAATATTTTCTACATCGTTTTACACTAAAAATACCTATCTAGGTAACCAGACACGTACACAACAACAACGTGTATGACGGCTATCAGGCTATGACAATAACTAGCACATTCACTCATAACACGATTCATTTACTGCCGGCAGTAATGCAAGCAAACGTTCAATGATTGTCCCTAATGTTACCATTTCAATAAATTAAATAAAAAAGTAATCCCATCACTTTTATATGCTTATTTTAATGAAATATCATTTAAACATTATTATAAATTGCTTTAATACATATAAAAAAGTGAAAATACCACGTTTGCTTGCACTTTCAAATCATGCAGTTCCGCTTTACTTCTAATTAGAAGATCATGGAGTTTGCATCTTCAGTAACATTCCTAATTTCTCTTTAATTATTTTATAAATATAAATTATATTGAATATCTTATACAGTTGTGCTTATATTTATATGATAGTTATAGTTTAATATTAAAAATATTTTTAATGTATAACGATCTCATACTTTTATATAAATGCCGCAATTAAAAAAAGCGGCAGTAATTGGGACATTTACCCTATTGACGGTTCCGACGAATGCAACGACGACAGGTATTTGCGTGGGAAAAACAATCAATATGACTTTGAGTTGGGAAGAACCAATTAAAGGTTCAACAATAAAAAGAATAAAATTACTTTTAATTACTCCCATGATAATAGCAAGTTTTTTCTTGATTCCATTTTTGTCGACTTGCAATGGTAATCATATATCGAATTGCATTTTATTCTGCAAAAATGTATATAGGAACGTATCATATAATATGATACACTTGTTTACTACTTAATTATTATTTTGATCTCTTTCATTTAGAAATATTATAAAAGTGTTTATCTGAAATAAATAGAAAAATGTCGAGAAATACAATCGAGAGTGAAGCTTGGTGTTAATAATGTTTCTTTGTGAATTATTAAATAGATTTTTCCAGTTTTTATATTAGGCAACAAGATTTAATCTCGACCATATATGGTTCTACTTATTTGTGTTATTCACATAAGTAATCTAGTTTAACTTATTATTGAGTATCTTTCTCATTATTTCATTTAAATGCGTTAAATAAAAAAATATTTTTTCGATATTTGACAGAGAAAAGAATGATAGGAAAAGCGATGATCAAGAATAATCTAGGATTATTCTCCGCTGCGATAAAAGATGGAATATTTACATGCGAAACAAACACTATAATAAACATCGAGGACAAGATAAATGTTGATATTTCTGATGTCTACTTAATTGTCTTCAATGAGTGTTTCAATAATTGCAGAAAAACAGGTACAGTAAGCCTTATGATTTTATTAATTGCATTAATTTAAAAATTGCTTTTATTAATTGTTTTTAGTTAAATATCTTGAATGTTTCAGTGACTAATTGCATTGCTAAGACAGTTATTAAAACCATCGTGATCATTGGTATAATAATTGTTGGTATCGTTCTCACTGTTGTACTCTT